CCACTATACTCCAACAAACTTAAAACAGAGTATCCTTGATAGATGGTTGCATCCAAATTCTCGGCCATGTTTGATGTATGCAATCATAGTCACACTATGAAACTTCACAGGCATTCTGGATTTCATGCAGATGTTCTATAAGGTACAAATGGCTTCAAAAGATCCTTCCTACTTCAATGACTAAGCATGCCTTGAAGGGTATATAGTGTGTCATAGGAGGTATTCCAACTTTCAAACATTTTGTTGTAACACGTTTGAAATCGAAGTCAAAATGAAACAACTAGCCATCCTACTCAACATATCCAGCCTTTTAGACCTGTCACATGGTCTCAGTAGGTCCATCACGACATTCGTTACGCACAAAATTAAGTTTTTCCACATTGAGTACAAAGTACAAACATTGAATTACATTTTCAATCCACATAAATTTTCCTAATTAGTTGGTTTTGTTTGAAAATAATGAAAAAATTGGCCAAGTGATATTTTGCATAAAAATAATCATATATCGTATATAAAATTGAACAACAAATAGCAATTTAGCAAATGATGTTTGAATGCACATGTAGATCCGTCAACGATTAGTACTTGATCCTTGTAATCCAATAGGCCTCGCTATAGGAAAGGTCGTTGTGTTCACTGATCAAATTGGGACAATCCCACTAGACAAACCATAATTGACAACAAATAGCTATATAAATCTAGTATCATTTTACTTGGTCACCAATATCTTAAATGAGAGCATCTATAGGGTGTTTGTAGATGATCTCGATTTGAATGTATAACCTTTGTCTTGATCTCTAGATGTTTGAAAATAATTTTGCCATCTATAGGATGATCACAAATTATATTCTAATCTAGACGATCTTACCATGAAATAATTCAATCAAGCAACTTAAACTATGCGGCCCTCCTATAAGGAGTTAGTTGTATTATTAGCATGAGACAAACACCTTACTTTGCTTATGAATTGACTAAAGGAGATCATGTAACACCCCGTTCCCACTCAATATTTAAATAATGTAATTTAATTATAAATAATTACCAATTGTTCAAATTATTCAAATTAATACACAATACAGTTATTATGAATTTCCTTCTAGAAATATTTAATATGAATTAAATTAATCAAGAAAATTTTAAATGATAATCAATTGTTCACATTAATCAAATTAATATAGAGTTTAAATATTACGAATTTTCTTTTTAGAAAAATCCAATCTTATTTAAATTAAACAAGGAAAATTTTAAATAATTATCAACTCTTCACATTAATCAAATTAAAATATAATTTAATTATTGTGATTTTCCTTCTAGAGTAATCCAATATAAATTAATTTAACAAGGAAAATCGGTGTTCATTGACATGCATCATATTTATAGTATCATGAGCGAAACCACAAATCAATTTACATGTCATAATATCTAGAGCGATAATATTTCAAACAATAATTTAAAGCATTCATAAAGTCATAAAATTAACAATTATTTGTGGCCCCAAAAAGATTCAAGAATTAAATTAAAAGCTAATGGGACCCAAGCCCAAATTTAATTTAAATTTCCGGTCCAAAAAATCTTCAAGCATCCAATAGTAGCAACTCAAATAGATATAGAACTCCGCCACTGTACCTGAAAAATTAATTAATTTCGAATTCGACTTATCTAGATCCGACCCAATTCATAAAAGCAAATTTGGACCAAAAGTCAACCCGAACACATGAGACACGCTTAATCGAGCGTAGCCGACTGCCCAGCCCTTTGGGGTTGCCAAGCTGCAGCTGCTTGCTGCGTCCGACAGCACTTGCTGAAATCATTTTTCTTTTCTTTTCTTTTGCAAAATTTTGAATTCTTCTTCATTGTCTTAGTCTTCATGTCTTAGTCTTCAATTTTTAATCAATTTACAAGTTTCAAAAATTACATAATTCCCATGCCCCATTGGCTCTCAATTTTAAATCTAACTGAAACGAAAATTAAATCAAGATGATGGAATTGTAATTCACCTATCTTGTTACAGACTCGAAATAACGACTTAAAAAATCAAGAACTGGACACAAATAATTGGATCACAATTTAAAATGAAACAATCGTTCAATCAACATATAATGAATTATTACTATACATCATTTTACTAGAACATGCAATTAAGATTCAAAAATAATAAGCGCATAAACGATATAGATTGCTTTGATACCAGTTATTGGAATGCGAAAGCAGAATTGCCCAAAAATTTTAAAAAATCTTTAATTCGATATAAAAAAATTGTCTAAATATTCATGTGTATGTTATATTAGGAATAAATGATTCAAATTTTTACCTAAATTAAACGATCAACTCTTGAATAAATTCTAAACCACAAATTTTCAACTTTTTGGATCACAAGCTTTCAACTTTTTAATTGCAAGAATTTAATATTTCAAACCTTCAATTCTTTTATGGTATTCTCTAAAGTGAATACTATATCGGTGGGTGGTCTCCTTTTAATAAACTCAAGAAACTAATTCTTGCCCCCGGGACATAGTCCAGTGGTGCAAATGATAGGAGTGAGGTTATCTCATACCTTGCTGGCAGCCACAGTGTGAGAGTTCGATTCCTGATACATGAAATTGGACTCTTTGTAGGCGCAGTGTACATGCAACTTTTGTTCCTTAGCTTGTTGAGGCACATCCCGCGATTTACCTCTCTCACAAAACTCTAGGGATGGGGCGGTGTGGGCCCTTAAAGTTGGGATTCAACCTTTTTTTAAGAAACTAATTCTTGAACTGAACAAATAAATAAAGCAAAAAAATAATTATTCTCTCACTCTTCCTCTAAATTTGAACACTATGAAATTATGTATTATAATTATAGTTTTCTGTAGGATGTCTAGGTTCCATTAAATATCTATGTATAGAAATATAATAGTTTCAATCCTTGTATAATAATAATTCAAAATCTTAACCGGACAATTAATAAGAGAACAACCAAACAAAGAAGTAAATTTCGATTTTCGAGACTCGAATTCAACGTTGAAGGATATATCAACAGTCGCAAATTTCGAAGTTGAAACAAAATTTCCCCATCAACAAATTACATCATTTTCTTTTAGCATTACAAAAAGATAATAAAAATAACTGTATAACTTTACATGGCAGAATTACCACAAAATTTAGAACACTAGAATTGCTTCCTAAAACTGAACCCTACTCCTTAATTAACTTACTGAACAATAATTTTTTTGGGGACGCCAGCGTAACTTCGTCAAAATCAAACGATTCATCATATTTGAAACCACGTTGAGTAACCATAGAAGTTTGCAATTTGGGATGCAAATTAATGGATTTTAGAGACGACGTCATGACTTTGTCAAATTCATTTAGTTCGGCATATTCAAGTTCCCAACTCTTGAAATCTCTCTTCTGATTTGAAGTCGTGGTATAAAGTGTATCCTCTTTCGTTTCGCGTACAGAAATTTTCCAGCTAGAATCCTTAAATGCGCGATCTTTGCGACCATGGATGATTTTTCGTCGTTCCTTCTTGCGAGGGCTTTTCACAAACTGACTTGAACTCATTGTCTGAATTTGATTTCCTGCAATGGCTAAACTCGTGATAATCTAATGTGGGTAAATTGCTGAATAACAATTGAGAAGAAACATATAGTATATTTATAGCCGTTGCTCTTTGATCGTTTCCTGGTAAGAAAAGGATTTAAACTGACCTTTCTTTGAAGGGACACTTCCTTCATAGTTGTACTCTTACTAGGAAGTTGATAAAAAGATTTTATTTTATTCTTTTTTAAAATTTGAGAAAGCATTGGATAAACTCTATCTCGACTTGGCACCCTGTCCGTACGGCTAAGTTTCTTTTATTTTTCTTTTCTCTTTTCTATTTCGTATGCAGATAAAAAATATTTCAAGTATAACACTGCAAATTTATTTCTTATATTCAATTTAGCTCACTATTATACACTGAAAGTTTGAATTCTAGGAAATTTTCTTTTACCAACCTTTATTAATTAATTAATCATGTTTAATTATCCTTATTGATTAATCAATCACAGTATCAAAATATCATATTAAGAGTAGATTTAAATATGACTGAGGAATATAAAGTTGGTAAACCATCAAAAGGAAACATCGACGACTCCCCGTACCACTAGCAAACAATTCAATATATAGAAAAAGGACACAACTATCTCAAAAAAAAAATTTGGAATTACAAATCAAAATCAAAATAAGCAAAAATCAACAATAACTAATAAATTCCTCGTATATGGCTTTCTTGATTTGTTGACGTTGGAAAATACGGATCATAAGTTGTTCATCTGGAGTAACTCGACCCATAAGTTATTAAAGTACATTAGAGGAAGTGGTTTGAATTGAATTCAAACTTATAACTTCACTCAACTCCCACCCACTTCCATAATCTTGAAATAACATTTGGAAAGTGTGTTTGATTGACTTTATTTTCTAAGAAAACTGTCATTTTCCCGTCCAAATTTTTTACTTTTGGATGTTTTATTGACAATTTTTATATGAAAAATATTTTTCAACTTTTGATTTCGTGACTATATTTTCTTTAAAAACAACGAAAACATTTCCTTTAGTGAGTGATGATTTTTATTTTCTAAGTAATTTGCTCTCTCTTTTTCTCTCTCATTTATTCCCGCCCTCATTTACTCACCAATAAAATATGAAAAATTATAATATTTTCTAAATTGAAAACTAAATCATTCAAACACATTTAACTAATAATTTATATACAAATAAATTCTAGGCAGAATTTATTTTATTTTCATGCAAATTCTATGCTCATAATAAAGAACACCCTTAGAATTGCATGATAAGAGAAAATATGGCAAGAATAAGAATTGCATGATAAGAGAAAAAAATGGAAGGAATAAAGTGAAATTCGTATGAAAAATCCCTCAAAAATAGAAAAGTGTCTAGAACTATATATATGGCATGAAAACTCACAAAATTAGGAATTTAAATCGTGGATAATAATTCCCTTTGATTGTGATCTAGATTGGAACCACTGGAGAATCAGAAAATGCAGATTCTGGAGTTTTGAAATACAAGGTGATTCAATCACACAAAGATCTTGAAATTCATTATATCAAGTAAGAATTCTTATCCCGAAATTTATGTTCTAGCATGTTTCGAAATTCTAACAGTTGAGGAGAGGAACCTAGCCAACGACCTTGTTCTACTGTCGCTACTACTATTGCGTTCGGACTTTTCAACAAATCAGAATGGGAATTTCGTTCTTATTCTATAGTGCCGAAATTCCATATCTATTTGTGGATTCGATTTGCTCTTCAAAATGATGACTTGCAATCCCAAATTGACGAAATAAAGATTGCTAAGAATACCTATTGTAAAAAAACTCAGAAGCAGTCCTTCATTTTCTCCAGAAGAAAAGTATTCATCTATATTTTATTTCAAGGTGTTAATCCTTGATAACCATTTGAATTGATAAGGAAGCAAATGGAAACTTAGTCTAGTGCAGGAATTAACCGAACTACGATTTCACTTGTAAGCTTGAACATATGGACTCTCTGCATCACGAGTTCACTAGTAAGAAAATTGTTCAGCTCCCTATTCAATATAGGGTCTATTTTCTTTCTTCTTACACGAGAATTTTCTTTAACTTATTTCATAATTGAATCGTAGAATCTCAAGGAAAAATATGAGTGCTTACCATAAGCTCAATTATAAGAAAGATAAATAAAAGAATCTTGATTTTTCAAATAATATATCACCAAACCTTTACTCTGAGGATATAAAGAGAGTCTTCACCTTCTCTTCATGTACGAGTAGATTTGATTATAATACAATAATAACAATAATCTTTATTCCATAATTCAGTTAATAGTGTAGGTATATGAACCAGATGGGTTCGAACATTATGATAAGTTTGTGAATCATAACCAGTGTACGAACCAACGAGTCAGTATGAAATTACTGAAATGAGGTCATAACCAGTGCACGAACCAGATGGGTTCGAACATTATGATAAGTTAAGCCATTGACTTAACTGGTACTGCACACGAAATTTTTCTAGACTTCTTTAAGTTACTCACTTTAAAAAAATTGAATTTGTATAATTAATAAGACCAAAAATTAATTAAAAAAATGTTAAAAACAAAAAGGAACACATATTTTAGGCATATGACAATTTTAAATTACAGAAAATTAATTAATAGAGAAAGTCTCTCGTAAAAATTTTGTAAAAGAAGATTAGTTTTTTTGAAGGAAGTATTGACCACCAAGATTTAGTCAGGCTCAGTTTATTCTTCCAATTGCACCACAACCAATTCAATCGACCCAAGACAATGCCAAGTCATTTCCTACTTACGGTTATCAAGATATTATCCACAAAGAGACCACAAAGGTATGTAATAACTCAATCACAATTACGACGAAGGCAGAGGTGAAGAGGGGAGGTGGCGGGCAGAGAGGCAGAAGGCCGAAATCTCACAAAGAAAGAAAAAGAGGCGCACCCGATCTTCTTGGCAAGGGGTAGGAGACCTAATGTATTCAACTAATGAGCCCAAGTAACGTAAGTTACAATAGGGTAACTAATGGGTCAAGTAAAGGCCCAAACAATAGACAAATGGGCTACCAAGTGAACACCTCTTATTTTGGCCATCTAAGAAAGTAGCTTGGGCCATAAGCAACACTAAAATATTTAGGTTGCTTCGAATAGCCCAATTAATCTTTGGGTTGAGTCGTCTCGATTGTTGTGCTATATTTTCCATTCAGTCATTGGCCAAAGCCGATTGGGAATTAAATCGAATTACATCACAGCTCGGGAAGATTGTTTGACAACAATTTGCCTAACAGTTTTCATTTTTCCTTACTGTTTTGGTTCTTTAATTTGGTTAGAAATTTCAATTTTCTTAGAAGTTGTTTGTTTTCTCTAATTTCTTTTAGAACTAATGAGATGTTTGGCAATCCGATGAGCGTATAAATATAAAATCAGTAAATTTTTTGTCACATATTTCTCATTTTACTTCCAATTTAACCTACCAAACGCGCCCTAAAAATATTTTGAAGTAGCCATAAGCCATGTGAAGTCACATAGTATTTCAAAATAAAGTCGATTTATTTATATTAATCTTTTTTATTTCATAGGTATCTTTTGGGGGAGGCATGCAGAATGCTAAGGATAGAATCCTACATCCGTCCCTTAATATAAGAACAAACAATTATGATCGGGCAAGGAATTTCAACGTAAACAACATATATAAATTATTCTCATCTTCTTACGCGTAGAAATTGCTTTTATTTATTTAATCCTTCGTTAGTTACAAAAATAGGAGCATAGTTTTTGCCACCTTTTATTTTATGTAATCTGCCGTTTTACCCCAAATCGAAATTGGCTATAAATAGTTTAGTTATTTTCAGTTACCCATGAATTTATAAGCTTTCTCTACGAGAGTTTTAGTTACGGAACTTAAGAATTTTTGGCCAACTTTGGAGGTAGGATTTCTGTAAATTTTACTTTGTTCTCATTAGCCATTGACATTATAATAATGTCAGTATTATGTAACTTAATTAGCTACTCTTGCAGAGAGTAATTCGCAAGTTTCGAATGGCATCCATTGGGAGAATAGTCGGTAAAATTTTTCTTGAAGATAGATAGTCTTCAATTATCTATTTATGAAAATTTTGCATGTATCATGTTCTACACTTGAACGAACATGTTGAAGAACAAATTTAATAAATAAATATTTTCTACTTCTAAAACTTTTACGTGAAGTGGCCCGAGGATTTGAATATAATGTAGCTTTTCATTCTTGATGTCTTAATTTCGTAACTTTTTGTCGATTTTATATAATGTATTCTAACGTGAGTTAATTTGATAGTTCTACTATGGGCTGACATACTCGCAATGTATACAATGTATATGATGATGGCATATTTAACCAATGTATGGAAGCTGAGTTTCACACATGCGGCAGCCATTCTCAACGTGTTTTGGGGACTGGTTGGTACATTGCCTTTATTGCTGCAATTCCTAGTTGACACTGTGATGGGCAACTATTGGATGCTTTTAATCTCCAGCATTTCCTACAGTACAGTAAGTATGATCATCTCGTCTCAATACTTAAGCTAGCCTTCAACACGGCCCCTTTGTGAGATTCATCTTTCCATCTAAGTCTTTACACAATTACAATTTTCAATTATTCTACTGGTACAGATGATTTTGCACGGATAGGTAGACTCTCAACCTATCTGTACAAAAATTCTCTACATGTAGTAGAATCTGTTGATAATAATGTAGGGAAATCTGAATACGTTAATGAACTCCAAGGCACGAAATGAAACGTTATCTTTTAAGAGATGTTTCTCCCCTATTCAACAAAGTCACAATGGGGTATAATAGAAAATCTCTCTCAAGATACAATGGAGGTGTTTAATTCAAATTGTGACTATTTGATCAAATTAAGAAAACACTCGAATATAACTGATTGATGCCAAGAGAAAGAAGGAAAAATAAATTGTTTGATGTGTTTGCAAATGAGAATTCGCCCAAAATTTATAGACACTGAGGCAACTGTTTGAATAGGTGTATCCCTTCAAAGTGACTGTTAAAAATGAACAGATGCACCTATTCAAAAACCTTTAAAATAAAATTCTCTTTCGGGGGTGTTGCCCCCGAACCCCCATAGGGGGCGCTGCCCCCTCGACCTCCGCGACCTGACCGGGCAGGTCGAACCCCGTTGTGCAGCGGCAAACATTAATCCGGACGGCAAATCATTCGCAAAACAAAAATTTTAACACATGCAAAATGATGAAAAAAATCTAACAGAATTCGACAGTTATTATACACGGGCATTTTGCATTTTTCTAAATGTTTAAGCTGTTAGAGAGGGATTTCGCAATAAGCTCTAAATTAAGAATTTCAGTCGGATTTTCTTGAATGCAGGGATTCGGTTTTCTTACGATGTCAACTCCACAAGTCCTAGGATCGGCTACCGGGACTTGCGGTTATGACGAGCCAGAATGCATTGGCAATGGACAAAAAGTACTCTTTTATACCTCATTGGCTTTTATAGTTGTTGGGATGTGCGGGCATCTGATCTGTTGGACTCCATTCATGGCTGAACAAGTGAATAAAGAAGAAGATATTACAGAGGAGAAACAATCTTGCAATTCTTTCAGCTATTTAACAGTTAAAATCGTCACCATTTTTGCAGTCCTAGCACCGTCTTCTGTCAAATTGTGGATGGTTCGGTTTGGGATACCAGTAGTGTTTGGTCTGGTTGCAACAGTCACGTTTCTCACAGGTTCATGTTCCTACAAATATGTTCGACCACAGGGAAGTCCATTGACGTCGTTTGTTAGAGTTTTTGTTGCCTCAACATCCAAGTTCGGTTATTCAGCTCCAAAAGATGCCAATGAATTGTATGAAAATCGAAATTCTGAAATCAAATTAGTTCCCCATACAAGGAGCCTGAGGTCTCTCTCTTAAATTACTTCACCATATTTTGAGTTTTATCCAATTGAGACATATCTAATTCTCTCGTATCCTTATTCTTGTAATGCAGGTGCTTGGACAAGGCTGCAATTATAGTATCATCAACAACTATAGAGGAACTGTTGGATAATTTAATACTTTAAAATATCGGATCTTTCATGTTAAATCATCAAGAAATATAATAATTAAAGCGGAAGCATACCTGAATCTGACATGGTTAATGCAATATGGATTTCGCGGTATGATCTTCCAAATCTACACGCAGTCTCCTTTTCCTCTCTGTGATGTGATGCAGTAGAGAATGAATAATTCGTTTCGTTGCGTGTGATCTGGGGACCATAACCTATTTATATGAGGATGCCTTTTGACCTAATTCGGCCCATCATAAAATTAGGACTTGGGCCCGGTCTCTACACATATGTAAACCCATATTTTAATTGGATACATTAAAGCCCAAAACCGAAACCTTATTAGATCACTTTAATCGGGCTCAACCGAATTCGATAGCCTATAATTTAACACACAATTATTCACACATACAAGCCCATCTTTAATTAAAAGTCCTTACAATCTCCCACTTGGGCTATATGTAAACTTTGCACAGTGACAGAAGTCGAGGAGACAAAAACTATAATTCGTATGATTCCAGTGTGGTCGACTTTCATCTTTTGCGGTATTGTGTCATCCATTGGATTCACTTACTTTATAGAGCAAATAAATCATCTGAGCCCTACAGTCAAAGGCGTAGAGGTCCCATCCACACTTCTTCTATGGTTCTATCACGAAGTGAAATCCATGTGCAATAAATTCTACGTGAAATTCGCTAACTCCTTAGATGAATCAGGATCAAGAAAGTTCGCTCCAGCAATTGGGGTCTTGTTATCTATGATATTCGCGATACTGTGTTGCATTAGTGCTGCAATAGTGGAGAACCAAAGGCTCGATGTTGTTCAAGAGCATGGTTCACTAGATAGTCCCGGTCCAGTCCCCATGACTGTGTTTTGGCTACTCCCTCAGCAAAAAATGCAAACTCCCACTGAAACTAGATATTCTCAAGAGACATTACACCCATATGAGCAGTGTGCTCATGAAAGACCTTGGGTATCAATCCCTTAGTAAGCGGATCCGCAATCATGGAGTTTGTCCCAATATGCTCTATTGACACCTGTTCACTCTGAACTCTTTCTTTAACAGCAAGGAACTTGATCTCTATGTGTTTTGACTTTGTCGAGCTCCCGTTGTTATTTGAATACAGCACTGCTAATTTATTGTCACAAAATATCTTAAATGGTCTTTCTATATTGTCCACAATACGCAGCCCAGTGACAAAATTATGCAGCCATATTCCATGATTTGATGCCTCATAACACGCT